TTTTTTTTTTTTTTTTTTGAGACAGGGTCTCACACTCGTTTATGTAGCCCAGGCTGGCCTCAAACTCATGACAATCTTCTTGCCTCAGCCTCCCAAGTACTGGAATTACAGGCGTGTGCCACCAAGCTTGGCTACTGCAATAGTTTTAAAAGAAAACACAGCCAGGTGTGGTGACGCATGCCTGTAATTCCACCACTTGGGAGGCTGAGGCAGCAGGATCTTTGTGAGTCTGAGGCCAGCCTGGGCTACATAGTGAGTTTAAGACCAGTCTGAATTGCATAATGAGACCCTATCTCAAAAAGACCAAAACAAAACAAAACAAAGAAAAAAGAAAACACAACCAAATCAATGGGTAGGAGAAAGGACGACAAGATGGGAGTGAAAAGGGGAGGCTACAACTGCAGAAAGATTGGGAGGAGATATCTCAAAAGATAGAATTTCTAAATATCTTAAAAGAAGCTGAATTTCTAAAAAGAATTAGAAAAAGGGCTTAAAGTGAAACTACATGCCCACTTTAAAAACTATTATCTTTAAAAATATTGCACCGGCCCTTTTTGAGGTCAAAGTCTTAAACCCATTAAATATACCTGGTTATTATCTGTCTGGCTGTCCAAGGAAGCTTATTAAATACAGGGAAACAGATTACATGTTACTAACACATCAGTGGGCCCACCGTGTACATTTGAGTTTGTGTTAGTGCCAGAAAGTCCCCGGGCTTAAAAATAGCTCTTAGTTTTTACCAAAGTACAATAACAAATTGCATTTTTTAAGACGCAATAACTTAAAATCTGAAGCTAGGACAGAAGGGTATGGGTTGGCCTGGGAGGTGAAGGTGTTTAGAAAAAGTATAAATTCTGTAAAGAAAAGGTTTATCCCGGTGTATATGTACCCTTTATAATATTCACTTTTAGTTACTTAACACATTTACCACAAATGTCCTTTTCTCGTCCTCTGCACTTTGCTGGCGTGATGCTTTTTTTTCTTCTTGGTACCCGGAATCGAGCTCAGGACCTTGAGCTTGCCGGGCAGGCATTTGTGCGGCTGAGCTGTATCCCCGGCCCTGCTGGCATAATTAAGCGAACATTTTCTTTCTCTCTTTTCACTTACAGATGACCCAAAAATGTAATTTGGGAGCAGCCCTCATCCCGTCCCGATTTACTGTGCACTGACAAACTTCGAGGCGCTGTGCTCAGAAAAATAAAGCCTCGACGGGCCCTCGAGGGTGTCGGGGACGAGCGGCGATCGACAGTCACAGCAACCGTGACAGAGGCATAAAGGGCTCTAATCCAAGTTAGACCAGCGGGGCCGGGAGGAAGCGGCCACCTCGGCCGTGTCAGGACCGCCGCTGACGGCCGCGGGGCTCTGCGGGAACCCTGCACCTGCACCCGCACCCGCCGGTCGTTGCGGGACTCGAGCACCGAGCGCCCCCACCCAGAAATTCCCCGCGAGCTCCGCGGGGCCATGCCCCTCTCCCTGCACCACCCGGAGCCCGAGACCCCCGGCCGGTGTTCCAGGAAGTGTCCAGCGCTGGCGGAGGGGCCTCCGCAGGCCGGCTGGCAGACGCCCGGCAAGCTACTCCCGACATGCTCCTCCCGGAGGATTTCGAACGCGCTGCCACATCCTCCCAGCCTTGGCCCCTAGCCTGCCCCAGCAACAGGCCGCGGCCCGCTCATTGGTCGGACCCGCGCGGCCGTGCTGATAGGCCGCGCGGCCTCCTGGTCCCGCCCCCGTGCGCGCCGCCGCCTCCATTTTGTCGATCGGGCTAGGAGGAGGTCTGGTCAGAAGGCGTGAGGGTGGTCGGTAGCTGGCTTGTGGGTGCTCGTGGGCTTCGTTCGATCTGTGCCAGGTCGCTCCCTGGAAAGGGAGGGGAGCCTCGACGTCGAGAGGGAGCCGCCGCTGCAGCTGAAGTCGGTAAGTGGCCGCGGCCCGGCCATGTTGGCCGCGGCTCCCCATTGTTGGAGCCGGGGCGGCGGCGGCTCGGGGAAGCGGCGCGGAGCGAGGCCGGCGGCTCGAGCTGTGCGGACTCACGAGCCGGAACTCGTGTTGGCTCAGGTCGCCAGAGCTGTCCGGAAGGCCTTGCACCTGCCCGCGAGGAGGGAGGGGCCGCCTCTCGGAACGGGAGGAGCGCGCAGCCCGGAGCCTCGCCTGGGGCGCCGGGAGCGCACGCGGCTCCTGCGCCCCGGGAAACTTGAGTCGCGGAAGGCGGGACGGAGGAAGGAGGCTCCGCGACCGCAGGCGGCGGCTTTGTGTGGAGGCGGTGCAGTGCCCGAAGGACGGGCGGTTCTGCTGGAGAACCTTGAGAAGTAAAATTTGAAGCAGTTTCCTGGCTTTAGCTGGAAAGGCTAAAGCTTACCATTTTGGTTACGAAGTGACTTCTGAAAGATCTTTTCTAGGAGAAAGATCAATTGGTGGGACGTACAGGTACTCTTTGGAAAGAATTCCTTAGGAGCTTGGTGAGATCTTAGATGGCAATTATGAGGTCAAAGCCCACTTCAGACACCAGAACCTTTTGTTCAGGAAGTACCATTCTTTTGCAGTCAGTTTGTTCTGTAGTAGTAAATGTAAGGGATCACCTTCTCACGTGTTTTTGAACTGACCAAGTAATGTTTACTTTTCTAGCTAGGACTTCTCTCAAACTTGTGTGCTGAGGACACTCAGATGTTGGCCTCAGCTCCTAGGCTGAACTCAGCAAATCAGCCCATGAAAACTTCTGCATTGAGACAAAGGAAAGGATCGGTCAGAAAACACCACCTATTATCTTGGGCTTGGCAGCAAGGAAGAAGACAAGTAGTGGAAATACTGCAATCTGAAAAGCAGACGGAAAGGTATAAACTTGCATTAAAATGGCACATTTTACGATGGACCCATTCTAAACCACTGATTGTGTAAAAGCTTTATTCAGATTTGTGGATAAGCTAATTTTTCCTGGAAAAATAATACAGGCTATGCATATAATGCACGCTCTTGATTCTGAATGAAAGCATCTATAAACAGTCCCTTTTATTGGAGTCTTACCAGGATTTCTGGAGTTAGAAACTGGAGCTGTAAAAGCTTAAAGGGATTTCTGAACTTTGCATATGGGAATGTAATCGCTTCCGTCTACTTACAGGTGACAAAGAAGCTGAAGATGGGCGGTGGAGAGAGGTATAACCTTCCGGCCCCTCAATCCAGAAACGTTACTAAGAACCAGCAACAGCTTAATAGACAGAAAACTAAGGATCAGAATTCCCAGATGAAGATTGTTCATAAGAAAAAAGAAAGAGGACATACTTATAACTCCTCAGCAGCTGCAAGGCAGGCCATGCAGAATGGGGGGAAGAACAAGAATTTTCCAAGTAATCCAAATTGGAACTCCAGTTTATCAAGTCCCAGCTTGTTTTTTAAGTCTCAAGCTAATGAGAACTATGCTGGAGCCAAATTTAGTGAGCCGCCATCACCCAGTGTTCTTCCCAAACCTCCGAGCCACTGGGTTTCTGTTTCCTTTAACCCTTCGGATAAGGAAGTAATGACGTTTCAACTTAAAACCTTACTTAAAGTACAGGTATAAAGAGGATGTTTAAATTTAGTTATATTTACAAATAGTGGTTAATTGGTCTGAAAGAAATTTACTAGAGAATTTTTGTAGAGCTATAGTCAGACTTCATCTCATTTGTGTTGTGTGCACTGTGACATAATAGTATCAGTGCAACTTAAAATAACTACTTGATAATGTTCTTAATTAGGTTACTTTAAAGTGAAATGAGTCAAAATTTAGATTTGAGGAAACAACTTTTTTTGTGAGGGAAAATAATTATTTAAGACTCATGGGTCAGATTTACTTGTGATTCAGATTATAAGCACCTAGCTGACACAAGTTCAAAAACCAGGCAGATAGCTGAAAGTTTAATGTCTTAGAATACCCAAACCAGTAACGTGCCAACAACCTAATGCACTGCCAAAAGACAATGTGAATTTTTCTTAAATAGTTGCATTTTACTAAATTATACAGTGGTAAGTGTGTAAAGGGCACTTGGGACTTACTAGAATGAGGCCTAAGAAATACCCCGGTGGCCCTTAAGAAAAACACCGCCAACAGGAATCCGGCAACAGATGCACCAAAACTTCCTGTAGCTTTCAAAGTACAATCTTTGTATTACAGCTCTGCACAAGCTATTGTGACAGTGATCTGGCCTCATCCTTGCAAAATTTAAAGCGGGGAATAATATAATGTGAAAATTTTAAGCACCTAGGGAAAAAGAGCCATGTAAATACATGTAATAAGCTTGTAGCATATGTAAAGTTTTCTTGGCTTTTATCCTACAAAAAATATTTTAGTATGAATTTGCTGAATGTAAGACCATGGACTGTTATACTATGGCCTAATTTTAGAGGTCCATAATTGTTTTTAAAGTTTGCTCTTGTGCTAAAGTGCCAGTGTATGTATGTTATAACTGATTTGGTTATAAACTATATTTCAAAGTAAATCCTAGTGTAATATGTCCTATATTACAACTAAACAGGTTAAGCTGCTAAAACATTTCTATTTTTAAGAGATGAAAATTGGCAGTTTGGACTCCCCTACTACCCGGTATTTAAACCCAAAGATTAATTTTGGCTTTCACCACAGATAAAAGTGATTTTTGGTTTTTTTTTGTCATAAAATCAAGCCAAGGGACCACTCACGCAAAAGACATAATCTCTTGCGTAATATCCAATAATCCCAATTCCAAAACATGATGTGTTAAGTTAATCCAATGACAAGTTAAAAGAAAAATTGTTAATGCCCTACTTTTCTAATATGGCATCATTTTTGATGTTTATAAACGGAATAGCAAAGTTGTATTTCTCCAGATTCAGATGAAATATTGCCCAAGTCAAATATTGAATATTCTAAAGAAAAGTTTATGTAGTACTTAATGTATTAGTATGAATTTGAAACATGAAATTAAAAAATAAAATTTTTTCTCCCCAGTAGGCTTGTTTTTATTTTAGAAGTTGTAACTTCCACATATATCTATATATTTTTTTAAGGCAGGGTCTCATTAAGTAGTTCAGGCTGGCCTTGAACTCATTTCTTACAATGTACACAATTATCTGAAATTTGATAGGATTGTTGGTTTGAAGAGAAGCCACTGGTTTGCTGTTTGGTGATTTTGATCTACAGCTATGCAATTAACTCAAGACTCTTTCCGGCAGTGCTAATAGTAATAAAAAGGCCACAGAATATTGGCAAAACTTCACAAAGCTCTTGAAGGTCAAACTGAGTGAAATAAGTCTAATTAAATTTATATTCTAAAATGATTTCAATCTATAAAAAATTAGCACAGGAACTCAAATTGTGCTAAGCATGGTAGCACATGCTTGTAATGTCAGCACTTGGGAGGCTGAGGCGGAAGCATCACTGCGCATTTAAAGCTAGTTGGAGCTATATTGTGAGACTCTGTCTTAAAAACAAAGGAACTCAAATTTGGATGAATTCTTGTGTTTTATGTATCATTTACACAAGGGGATCTCTGTAAGGGAAGCTTGCTTATCACACATTTGCCTTCTAGCAAGTAGTTTCCAGATGTTATTTATGATGACTTAAACCCAGCTGAGTAACTCCTGAGGTAAGGCTATAATTTTTTATCCAAACAGCAGGAAATAGGAAATTTGAAGGTAAGGCTGAAAACTGTTATATGGGCCTCTTTTTCTTCCCTTTTATGTGTTTCCAGGATAACCACATGAATAGTAATTCTAGCCACTGCTAAATTCTTTCCACTGCACTGCAGTTTCACTTGGTCAAACAATTCTTAAGCCTATGCATATTAAGTTTAATCTATACAATGAAATAGGTAAAGTAATACTGTATACTATTTTTCGACGGACTCAAGTCAGACTACTAAAAGTACTCAGTGAGCTGAGTGTGGTGGTGCATGCCCGTAATCCCAGCACTTGGGAGGCAGACTGCTGTGAGTTTGAGGCCAGCCTGGGTTACAAAGTGAGCTCAAGGCCAGCCTGAACTGCAGAGTGAAACTGTCTCAAAGATACAACAAAACCAAACAAAGAAAAGTACTCAGTGAAGGCCACGAACAGGAAAGGCTCCTAATTAACGTAAAAATTTTCATAGCTTAATGGTAAGGTCAAAGGTCACTGAGACACTGATAAAGTTGTGGTCAACTTTCCAAAATATGGGTAACATGAATTTTCCAAGTCAGTACACTTATAAGCAAAAACACTACATTGGTAGGTAGAATCTGTTCTATAGGCCTGCTGAAAGCAGCAGCTTTGTGAGTATTTGTTTTTTCCCCTCCAGTTGCAGGGATTGAACCCAAGGCCCTCCACAAGGTAGGCAAGCATTCTATACTGAGCTATACCCCCCGCCCTCATCTTTTTTGATGAGTCCACGTTCATTATTCACTCTCAAACAAGAACAAGGTGGGGAAAAGTCCTGAAGGATTTTGGGTTAAGTCTGATTTTCCCAGTGTTTTAGTTGCATTCTCAAAGATTATTATTTTAAATCAGAGAGGGGCAGACAGTATCTCTAAAACATCTTACACAAAAAGTCTACCAAGGTAGTTAACATATTTGCAAGGTAGAGCAAAATCTTAAAAAACAAAAACAAAAAAAAAAACCCAAGTTTTTTTGGCTCCTAGACCAGTTTATTATTTCACTCCAGCATTTAAAAGGGGATCTGCAAAAACCTAGATACAAAGGCCTTTTATGTCTTTACAAACTGTCAATTATCAATGAAATGAATTTACATGCCTCATACTTTATTCCAAAAAATCTCCATCTTTAACACAATGATGAAATGGCTTTACAGATACACAAATATAAAGATAACTAACACTGTTAAGAGGATGAGGCAGAGGAGAGGACCCAAGAGAAAGCCCTTTCCATAATGACTAGCAGAATGCCTTGTAGGCAGCAATAGCTAAAGACAAACAGGCTACTTACTTCACCTATTTATCAAGCTATCAACTACCCTGGGAGAATATTTCACTCCTGGAATTCCTGAAAGCTGATGATCCTATTAACAGAATGTCATTAGATTATTCCAACTATTACTCAAGTCACAGCCTTCTCATAATCTCAGGACATTCCAACAGGCACATGGTTAAAAGTCTCTAAACATGAAAATCTGGAAAGCTCTAAGCCACAAGAGGCTGTGATCAAAAAAAAAAAAAAAAAAAGCAAAAGCTGTGATCTTGGGAGAGACTTAATGTCATTCTAATCCAGAAGTTATCTACTATGTTACAAGTTCAGGAATGAAATAGTGTATGCAAAAGCCTACCACAGGGTAGGCATTCCATAAAAGACAACTTTCTCTTCTGTAAAACAGGAAGAGTACCCATTTCCCAGAAGCATTTTTAGGATTAAATAGGAGTACCTGGAAAGCATATGGCTTAGCACATTAAGTGCTTAATAACACTGACAGCCTTCAATATATAAGGTAACAACCATAGAAAGTTAACACTGAAAGTTAACTACATTTTGACAGTTGCCCAAACCTCAAGGGTCTTTTCTGATTTATCACATTTAAAACTTTAGCGATCAACTATTGTTAACTGTATTTCTAAGTAAAATATTTTCTAGCAAGAAATAATCAACAGACTAGGGAACACACTCAATACTGTATGTATTTACCAATTTTTTTTTTTTTTAATTCTTAACCAAATGTGTAACTTAATTCTCCCCTCCGAAATGTTTTAACCTCAAGTCAACAGGAAATGGACAAGGGAGGTAGAGGACAAACACCTATGAACTACAAAGGTCGTATTTCAAAAAATATACAACTTACACCAATAAAAGCTATCAGTTCCATGCTAATGATTATGTGAAAGTATCAAATACATTTTGTAACTGAATCCTAACCTGCCCCAAGTAAACTCTAGATTCCATTATGTCAGCTTTATTATCTCCATGAAAATAAAGCTACAAAACATTGTCCAACTTGATTAAAAAGAAAAATGAAGCAGACTTTATGGACCCTAATCTAGTATTTACCACTTGTGGGACCCTGGGCAGTTAGAAATTTTTTTAACGAGGATACAAATACCTCCATTTTACACCTCCCTTTAGTTTCGTGCATTCTACTATACTTTTGAAAGTGTTGTAAATTAAAAGCTTAAACTTCATTTATAGATTTTAGATAACTTTAACAGAAAGTTTTAAATACGTAGCAGAAATGTGACAAAACTCAAATGAGATGGAATCATTGTATGATAAACCTCAAATCCTAACAAGGAACTAAGGAACCCAGAGCATTTTGTAACACTATAAAAATTATTTATTCACTATACACAGAACACGTCCCCTATAAAATGTACATGTAAATCACTGAAGAGTATAATCTGGCAAACATTTTCTCAATTACAGAACATACTAAATCAGATGGGATAACAGTTGTCTTCCCCCAAATTATCTAACCATAGCACCCAGGGTCTCTTGAATATCTAATGCAAAATTAAATACTTATTTTGGGGATTTTTTTCCTATTATGTGTGTGATTGAAGCAGAGTTAACAATTAATATAACTCTAGTATATTACAGTCACAGCACAGTAAATCAATTCATTACAGATTAAAACATTTTTTTCATTATTCATATTAATGGGATGCAAATAAAATACTGGATATTTTTTAAATGGTAGGTAACCATAAAATTAGTTATCTGCAATAGAATATTGGATTTATAATTACATTATGGTATGAGTGGTGCAAAATATTGTGTAATACACCTCAAAACAGTAAGGCCATATTGCAGTGATTCATTACATTGTGCTCAGTAGACATTTATGGAATAAAGGAAATACTACTTATTCTTTTCCCCAGTTATCTCGTGCAATGTTTTGCCCATAGTAAGGGCTCAATTAAATATTTGCTGACATACTGACTAGGAAAGAGGTGAGGAGAGATGGGCCCTCTCAGCTGCATGTCAAGTATAATTGGAATATACCTGGGAAAGCGAGTGGTTAAAGGTGATGTAAACTGTATGTGGTATACAAGTAAATAAACTCAGATGCCAACAAAGCAAACAATTAAGCAGAAAACACTGGCACCAGAATAAACAAAGGCAAGATCTGCCAAAAATGGCATAAATGGAAATGACTTAAGAAATATAACCAAGAAAGTTTACATTGGACCATACCTTTTCCCACCCAATTCAGTTTGAGACAGACCAATAGAGGCACTGTAAGAAACTATGGCTGTCTTCCTTGATACTCAGACATCCTAGTTTTCAATAAATTATGGACCTGTTACCCATGAATCAATATAAACCTGTTCATATTTAGGGATTAGTTTCCACAAGTACAAAATTGAATTTCCTTTTATTTGTCCTAAAATGCTTACTTTCAAACTTGAAGGGACTTCAATTATTCCATGTAGTTTTCGATAATTCTTTTATCTTTTCATACCAGTCAAAATATTCGTACAGTATTCATACTGCAGCACCTTCCACCCACCCTTTGGTCGCTTGAACTGCCCTTCTTTGGTTCTTTTTCCGCTTTCAGATCTTTCTTGAAGTGTAGTAAGCAGAACTGTACTGGGTATTCCAGCTGCAGTTTGGTCTTAAATAAAAGAAGGATGTTTGTCAGTTTGGTTTTCTTTATTCTTCTCTGTGGTATACAGGATTTTGTTAGTTGAACTGGATGTAGCAGCTTACTGGGCCACTTTTTCAAGAGAATAGTACAGTAGTTCCCAGGTCTTTCCCTAGGTTGTTACTTATCAGCCCACACTCTACGTAGCACCTTCCCTTTCTCACTGAAGCATTATGTCTCACTTTTCTTCTTGCTTACTTGGCTTAAAAAAAATGCAGAGATCTTAAGTAAAAGGAGAGGTGAAGTGCCAGCCCTCAGTTGAGTGTTGACGACAAGACTATAGTATCGAGCCCAGTGCCAGACACACAGTAGGCACTTAATAGTTGTGGAATTCAACACGACCCCAAATTAGCTTAAAATACTGTGTACAGATCCTAAGAATAAGGACGGTCCTCTCATAGCCCTTGTGAAGCTGTTAAAACATCATTTCAGAAACAGTGGTTCTCAAGAAAAATAGTCTGAGCTTTTCAAAACTAAACTGACAAAGATATAAAAATGAAAATGTCAGCCTTTCTAGCCATATACAGAGAGACTGAGAATAATTTCATTGGGCTTTTTCCTCAATTTACTTTTCTCAAATTATAGTCTGCTAAATAAAACGAAATAAAATTTAGGAACCAGACCTGGGCTCAAATCCTCAAGAGCCTTTTCTTTGTGCCTCAATTTCTTTGTGATACAGGCAAAATAAAAGTATCTTTTCTCACAGGGTAGAGTGAATGAGTTAACACACAGCCTTCTGAACAATGTCTGGCACATCATACTTAATAAATTACCAGCTACAGTTGTCATTGTAAGGTAGCTAGAATCCAAAACACCCAGATCGTTTCCCCAAAGTGGTTATCACTTAATAAATGCTCACTAACATTAAATGAAAAAGAATTCTAAATCATGTCATAAACATAAAGCCTAGTATATCTTGTTTAGGAAGGGAGAGAATTATTGATCCATTCAGTAATGAAAGTATAAATTTATAATTAGCCGACCCAAATATCAATGAGATTTCTGTCAAGTTTTGTCAATTCCAAAGTAAATTAGTTATGCCTAGTGCAACAATGATTTAAAAATGTCCCTAAGTCTACAAGACTGTTTTTCATTGTTACTTTAGAATCATATTCAATACTATAATAATTCCAGTTAATCATTATTTCCTTCATTTTGTTTTTATTATAGCATGTTTGCTTAATTTACAGCAAGCAGAAAATAAGCTGGGTCTTGTTTTGATCCAAACATTGATGTCTTAAAGGTTGTACACAATATTTGTTAAAAAGAACATATAAAAATACCTTTTTAGAAGCTTCTATAAGAAAGAAAATACAAAGTTTAACCCCACAACTTTCCTCTTTGCTAGAACTGCAAACTACTGCTACAGTTTTAAATAGATTTTTTGTTGTTTAAACTATACATCCAGGAAAATCTAAAAAAATTAAAGAAACGTGCATATAAATGATTGCATAGCAGAACATGAACATTAACTGCAAACAGTAAAGAAATGAAAGTTAGAAATACTATCAAATATACAAAGGTTCTAGAATCAATCCTTTGAACACATTCCACAAACAGTATTTAAAAACCATCTTTTTGTTCTTTACAGGCAAGGCCTAGATTTCTAAAACCAAAATTGAGAAATTCTCTGAAAGGAATCATTTCCCTACAATAGTTCTTTCTTGTATCCATAAGCAAGCATTCTGAGATTTTAAAAGATGCTAGCTTCTATTTTGAAATGAGACTGGACATTTCACGTCATTTTTTACTGCCTCCAAAAACGATCTTTCAGAGATACTAGAAAAAATGATTATAGTTGAAGGTATTAGTTCCTCATTTTTAGTCAGGTACTACAATGATAATGAAAAACTCAAGAGATGTGACTCTCTCTTCCTTCAACTAATCTGTTTTCCAAAATCATTTAAAATTTCATGGCACCACAGAATCCCCTAGAATGGGAGTGCTGTATTTCAACTTGCCTCACAGTAAATAAACTGAGAAGTGAACAGCAAGCCTCCCTCACAAACAAGTAGGCAAATTTTGATACAAATGCACATGCCCAGTGCTGTAAGCATCAAAATTCAGTTCCCACACCCTATACATACACACAAACAAAATCTACATTGAAACAATTTACTTACTTCTAACAGCAGTAAGATAACTAACCAACAATGTCAACACTGCTCCTTACATTTTCAAATAACTACTAAGAACATTCTTCTTAAAATTATTGTTTTTCTGCCATCATTGACCTGCTCAAATTTAAGGGGAGCTTTTCTGATGTGCTGATGTACCAAATATTCATAGAATTCAGAAAAAAAAAAAAAAAAAAAAAAAAGCATCATTGAAAATGAGTAATATATGCAAAATGATTACAACCGCAGAAGTATGTCTTATATAAGATTCAGAAATAAAGAAAAAAAAGCATCATTGCCCAAGACAGTAGGGTTAACAAAAGAACTACTCCACACTGCATCATAAATAAGCTATTATCTGAGCCTACCCACCTTGAAGAACATAAAGGTCCACCCTGAACCTAAATGTTTCTGAGCAGTCAGTGTTGTACTGTGGCTACAACTTCACTTTCGTATCACTCTATCTTATTAGCAAGCTACATTTCTAGGTTAACAGTTCTACCAAATATGGATATGAAAGTTTATTTTTAATAAGACAATGTTGCAAATTATGGTCAACCAACATCTTTTCACCAAATACTTCAAGCATAAAAAATGAGAATCTTTACAAAAATATACAGAGACACCACATATTGGTAGCTGCCCATAACATTAAACAAACTGGACTCTTAAGAGTGTCTTCTCAACAGCATATCATTTTAATTATAACCATTGCCTGGTACAGGGAAAACTAACAAGTGTTTTTTACGCATCATTGCAACATTGTAATCCTGATAATTTAAGTATACCAAACTATGAGTAAATGAATGATACATGCCTAAAAATTATCATGGTTTGTACTATCAGTGGCCACTGGACTTAGGACTAGTCCAAGACCTTGATCTAGATTTTGACCTAGACCTAGACTGTGATCTTGACTGAGATTTGGATCTAGGTGGTTCTTTTTTCCTTGATTCCTTTTCATATCTTGAGCCAGACTTATAATGTGTTTTGGAATCTGTTTTAGAGGTGCCTCTAGTTTTGGTGTGAGATGCAGACCTAGAACGTGATTTAGCCTTCATTTCTTTCTTGGGCTGGGACTTGGACCGTGATCTTGAATTGGATTTAGATCTTGAAAAAGATCGATTTCGGTGTTTGAATCTTTTAAAACAGAGGAGAGATACAATTAGAGTAAAAATTAAGATTCTATATTAATCAAATTTGTTATTTTAGAGCAAAAGTTCACTCTGAAATTGAAAAACGTATGAATCTTTTTCAAAGCAAAAGTTATTTACCTATCATTGTCGGAATGGCTTCTGCTACGTCGTGGTCTTCCAGTCGGTCTACTGCTAAAAAGTATATCAGAAAAAGCAAACAGTGACAAATGTCTATAGTATCTTAAAAGTTTTAAAAAATGAAACAATATGTTTAGTCTCAACAAAGCATTATATACATATATACATACATATATTTTTTGTAATTATACAAAAAAGTCAAAGGGAGAAAGCTAACAAACACATCTTCTGTGCTGTTGATATGGGATGTCACTGTTGCCTCGGCTAGCCTCATATTCCCAGACTCAAGCAATCAGCCTCCCAAATGCCTAGGACTACAGCACATACTACCACATATGGCTACAAAGATCTCTTTTTAACAGATGTCACACTTATGCCACACTTACTTTCTAGGACTATAAGATCTTCTATAGTTGTAATCAAAAGATCGACTTCTTGATCTCCTCCTTTCATAACTCCGGCTCCTAGAACGTCTGTATCTGTCATAATCATCATAACGTGAAGAACTGTACACATTCCTTCCTTCCTTGGCTTTCATTTGATTTGGTGCTAGGAAATACATAGAACAGAAATATTTAGAAACAATAAAAAAAATACTATTACGACCTTCTTTTATACAAAGAAAAATGTGTTTGGAATCTGTTTTAGAGATGCTGCTAGTTTCAGTGTAAGACCTACAGAGTAATTTTGCCTTCATTTCTAAGTTGGTTCAAGGCTGTGAGTATTAATCTAGAAAAACTTTTTTTTCCAAGGACATGACAGAAGACTGATTTATGTTAAAGATGGTACTATTATCTGACCCCAGGTATTGTTTTTTCCTTTCCCTCCTCCCTTCTTTCCTTCCATCTAAGCCTCGAAGTGCTAGGCATGCATCACCACACCTAGCCTGTTTTTTTAATGTCCTCTCCCAATCTAGCTTGTTGACCAAGATGTGCCAACTACTTTTGACTACAGGAATCTATACAGTAGTATTATTTTTTTTAAAATCCTAATTTGGGACCAGGGATATAGCTCAATGACACAGCACCTGCCTGGGAAGCACGAAGTCCTGAGTTCAATTCCCAGTACCAAAAATAAATAAATAAATAAAAATCCCAATATGCCTTATGAACAATGTGTAGAATCAAAATGCACCGATTATGCATTTAATCAAAATGCATTATGTCCTGAGATTACAATGACATAGAAAAGTAGAGGAGAACCAATACTTAATGGAATCTCTTATTCTGTACATAACTATACCACTGGGCCTCAACTTTTATTCAATCCAATAAAGCAAGTAATTTATGCACAGGTATGTATGTACAGCATATAAACAACATAGCGAGTCCCCAGGGGGTCCCCTTACCTAATTCATGAAGTAGAGAATTACTGTTATTGTTTGTGTCTGCATGTTTGCAGGCTCTTTGGAGGCAGCTGAATGTAGCTTGTGATTTGTTCACTGTCTAGTGCTGGGATTGGTAGTGAGAGTGCTACACCTGCCCTAGGGTGGGGTTAGCCTGCATACAATATAAGAGAGGAGGCTTAGTCCCCCTTTTGCCCTTTTTGCTTTTCATGCTGCTTTGAACTGATGCCCCTCTCCATGCCACCTTGCTGTGGAAACAGCAGATGACGGACTGAAACCTCCACAAACTGTGAACTAAATAAACCTTTCCTTCCCTAATTTTGGGTGTTGAGCATTTTGCCTCAGCAAAGAGAAAAGTAACTAAGAGCCTTTAGTCTTTTTAGCAACTACTTTAACCTTTTAGTTCCTGCCCAACGTAAAACAGTAGTTGAGCTAGAATTCAAACCCAGGTCTACATGTCCCCAAAACCTACATATTTTTTTTTCTTCCCCTTTCAAAACCTCTATTCTTGCTCAATCAATTTGCAACTGACTTTGATGGGGCAGGTGCACAATAAAAATCAAGTACTATTCTAGCTTTAATTCAGATTGCCTTTCCTAGTCTACTTCTATTGGCTCATTTCAATAGTCCTGTAGCCACACAATTACCCAATTATACTTTGAAGATTTTTTTTTTTTTGAGACAGGGTCTTGCTATGTAGTACAGGCTGGCCTCGGAAAACAGGCATGTGCCACCATGCCTGGCAGAAGATCTTATTGAAGAGAAAGGGCTTCAGAGAACCAAAACTTTAGAAGCTCTTTTTCTCAACTCCATTCCTAGTGTATTAAACATGCTATTGCTGATATTACTGACCAACTTTCTGTACTCTGAACACTTTTCAGGTATTCTGATCATAATCTTTATACCTACATACAGTATCTGCAAACCCTGTGATCTACTTGAAAAAATATAAAGTATTCAAGATAGTCTGTCTTGCTGGGGATATAGCTCAGTGGTACAAGCGCCTGCCTGGCAAGCATGAAGTCCTGAGTTCGACTCCCGGTACCCAAAAAAACCAAATAGTCTTTCTTAAAAACAATCTGAACACACAAATCGCACAAATACTTCAGAGAAATCCTAAAACATCATTTCAAAATGATATATCATACACGTTAGTAGGCATAAGGGTACTTACTCTTCCGATCCCCTTGTGCAAACTGTATTTCGATCTGACGTCCACAAATCCATTTTCTGTCCAAATTATGTAAAGCATCTTCAGCATCACGAACATCCTCAAATGTTCTACATGTTAAGGGGCTTGGGAATTTTTGCAAACTTTGATAATAAATAAAAGTTCAGTTGGTAAATCTGGGAACAATTCACAATTTCCCAAAATTATTCTAGAAAAAAAAAAAAATCAACCAGACTGTATGTACTTACTACTTGGTTGCCTCAGCCATTAACACTTCCTAGCATAAAAGTACTTGTGATTTCCCAAGGCATATGTTTTAGAAAACATGTGAATGTATGTTGTATTAAGATCTATTAGAACTGAATCACCAAGTTATCCTATTAAAAATATTCCTGAGTTTTAAGAATTAACTTTATAAAATAAGACATAAAAGACAAAAGTCAGTCAATTCCATGTTGGGTACTAAAACAACAATTTCTTAAACCCAAAATACTACTTTTGTGTATTTGTTTTAAGTAAAAAAAAAAAAGAAAAAGAAAAAAAGAAAAACACCACCAATAGTTCTTGTGTAAGCAAGCAGCATATGCCTTACCTTACAAAGATGAAAGCCATCAACTTCCAGTTTATTTTGCTGTTTTTTTCAGACACATCTAATACTATTATTTATGTGGCTGTCTTCAAGCAATATGCAAACACTATGCCAAGTGCATATTACACCCATGCGCAGACTATAATGGCATGCTATCAACAAATAACAGACCACTGTAAGAACTCCTAGACTGGAAAGCCCTAGACACAGATGATACTAAATAGCTTCCTGCCAACAAGTGAGTTTGGGATTGGTTTCTGCAAGACAGTATTTACCAGCTTAAAACAGATATTGCTGGCATTAATTTTTGATCTGAGAAGCTAAACTAACCTATCCTCCCCCTCATGCTAACAATATCACTCTCAGAACTCCTGGGTTTACAGTAGTTATTCTGTCCAAGCATGGCTTCCTTTCTAAAACCATCATTCCAACAGAAGCCAAGCACACATTCAAGCAGTGTTTGATAATTAAAGGTTTAGAAAAGGATCTAGGTTAAGTTTCAGTATGAACTTTAACTCTTTCCTAAAAATTGCTTGTTTACCTCTATTTCTTAAATTTGAGAACATAAGAGTGCAGATTTAGACAGCTGATTTAGGAAACACCCTCAGGGTGACACATTCAAGATTGATACTAGTGTTGTTTTTATTAGAGACAAAACGGTGTATGTTGGCCATAGTAGACCTCCCACTTCTTGTGCCAGAAAGAATTAAGCAGCAGGTTTCTAGTTCTCTCTCCTGGAGGTCTTCATGTGTAGATAAGTGGCAGAAGAGGTTTTTCCAAGTCTTAACCAGGCTTTCAACATGAAAAGGCTGATGGAAAGCATAAGACTTTGAATACATAATTGAAAGTTCCTCAAGGTTAATACAGTTGGGCTCTAAACTAAATAAAAGGAATGTTTACCTAATAAGTATACAACTTTGTTACAAGAGAGAATAATTTAAGAAAGAATTTACATTGAGCTTAAAAATTATTAACAAAGCATCCTGAGGCTACCCTCACAAACAACTCCAGTGTGGATGGCAAGGTTCTACATTTTACCTGTTAAGTCAGAGATAGGAACAGAAGACCAAGTGCAAACAGACTTAAGTAGAAGAGACAACAGTAGGGGCAGCCAAGTACTTTAATGCTAGTCATGGAGTAATTGTATTTTAGGGTTCTTACAAAAATGTAATGGAAAAGCCTGTAAGTGAACCCTTTTTAACTATTTTAAGACCACAGTAAATTATTGAACATGTATTAACAAATAATCACTCTTTTAGATTCCTTTGTAAGCCCATATATAACAAGCTAAACTACTGACCTTAGTATCGGGACACCCCAAACCATGTAACATTGTAAGCCAGAATCCAGATATAACTATTACCCTCTATATGTTTGATAACTAACTCCCACAACTGTCCTTGATCACCAGCCCTGTGGGAGCCATTTTTTGGCTTTTTTCCATTAGTTTCACTAGGACTCTACTAACTTGAAAAGGTGCAAGAGGTTCACCAAATTTAAACAGCAAGATTTTTCCTGGCCTCAAGTTCACAGCCCAAATCTTTATTTTTGTAAGATGATCTCAAAGAAGGGAGGAAGTAATGTCATCTGAAACTAGGTCAAGAATCAATTTCCCATAGATCCTGATCAGATACCATACCAGGGAGGCCTTCTGTAACCCACTCAAGGTCAACTGACCATACGTGCTAAAGCAGTCCAGTGCCAGCAGGCTACACACACAGCTAAGCACCAGAAGTTAGGAATTTGTGTATGTGCCCAGCAACCATCTAAAAATCTATATGGTATTTCTAATGGCTCTGACCCTGCAAGACCACCAAAGCTGTTTCCCAGTCCATGCACCTGTCTTCCCTTTAAGCAGGGACCTGCCACTTGACCCTACAACCTCATGCTGCTTCAAGATTCTCTGACCACCTGCACCAAACCAAAATATGCCAAATTTAAGCTTAACAATGTTACATCCTGTTATAATTTAACTTGACAGGCTAAGGAAAAGTGCATTTATACAAGACCACAATCACGACATCAAAGCCCACATAAATCAAGTCACAGGTTTTGTCACTAGACCAAACCAGAATAATTTTGAAAATTAACTGCTTACAAAACATTAAAAAAAAAAAAAAAAAAAAAAAAAAAAAAAAAAAAAAAAAAGAAGAAGAAAATAGTTATTCTGTAGGATACATCAGGTATGACTCCTTTAATCTTGGCCATCATTCAACTTCATCTTGACCTTTAACTCTTTAAGTGCTTGTCAGAAGGACTTGTCATGAGATGCTTGGCCAAATATGACAGATGGCTTTATCTTTAACTTTGAAAAACAACCTTTTCCCCCTCTGTAGATAAAGCGAGGCTTTGTCTCCCATTAGGCTTGTCTTTCTTCCAGCTTTTCTTTATTTTTTCTTTTCCCAAACTCTCCCTTCTCTTCAAGCCTGATCCTTAAGAGGTCTTTGGCTTGTCTACTTGCCTTAAGTGTTGAACTCTACTCTAAAGGTTCTTTCATGCTTTCTCTCTGGGGTCGCCATAACTGTACAGCTTTACATTCTGAGGTAACAACAGAGGACAGCAAATTAGGGGACAATATTAAAGAAGTTTACCTCATTGTTATACAATTATTTTTTGATCAAGTGATTCAAATTAACAAACAAGAATACTAAACTTTAATTGCTAAGCAGAACATACTAACTTTTAATTTGACTTACATTAAAGGTGGTAGCAACCAGAATGAATTCAAATTTAAATCACATTATAATCATTGATTAGGGTTTCAGCATTTCAGCAACATGAACGGGAATTTAAATATTTAACTATTTTTGGATTAATGGAATAGTAAGAGCAATGTGAGTCAGAATTTTCAAAAATTTGAAAACACAGACATTTATTAGAGGACAAAAATAAACTACTTTTTAGATGTTACCACTTACATAAACTTGAATTTGAAACTTCACCCCTCACTAATCAGTCATCTGAAGAAAGGATATTGAACATAAGCAAATCCTCTTGGTCGTCTCGTGTAGAAATCAAGTGGAACATAGACATCAACTATTGGACCATAGCGGCCAAATTCACGCCGTAAATCTTCAGACCTAAAACATCATAAAAGGAACTCAAATTTTTATGTCCATGCCCGTAAAGGGACTCATTAACAGTGTATCCTGTGGGCCTCAGCTACATCCCTGCCTTGGATGACCCGAAAAAGATAAGCCTTCAAGAATCTCAACATTAAGAGCCAACTTAACAACATACAAACCGGTAAAGGCCTGGAGTAATGGTGCAAGCCTGTAATGCCAGCTCTCTAGAAATTTCAGGCAGGACGATCACAAGTTCAAGACCAGCCTGAGAAACCTGGCTAGATCCTGTCTCAAAATTTAAGAGGAGGCCGGGCGTGGTGAATCCCAGAGGTTGAGGCAAGAGGATCGTTTCGAGTTCGAGACCAGCCTGGGATACAAAGTGAGCTCAAGGCCAGCATGAACGGCATACAGAGACCCTGTCGAAAGAAAGAAAAGAAAGAAAAGAAAGAAAAGAAAGAAAGAAAGAAAAGAAAGAAAGAAAAAGAGAGAGAGAGAGAAGGAAAGAGAGAAAGAGAAAGAGAAAGAGAAAGAGAAAGAGAAAGAAAGAAAGAAAGAAAGAAAGAAAGAAAGAAAGAAAGAAAGAAAAAGAAAAAGAGAGAGAAAGAAAGAGAGAGAGAAAGAGAGAGAGAGAAAGAGAGAGAGAAGGAAAGAAAGAAAAAGAAGAAGGGCCGGCCGGAGAAGTAGCTCGCATTCCCATAATTCTCAAGTACCCACCCCCATCCCCCAAAAGTAAAGACTGTGTATCGTTTTGACAAAGGAAAGCCAGGACCCAAGAATACGATTTCTCTCGAAGTCTACTACTCTTTTACATTACAACAGCAAACAGACTCATAAGAAAACGATTGCAATTTTTATTATTTACCGCCTTCATTTTTCATAAAAGATAGGGAAGCACATTTTTTTCACCAAAATCAACTCTAGTACTCAAAAACACCAAGCACTTATTTGTATAGCAAAATCGTAGCAACAGGGCTAGACAACAGTAAATAGATATGGTCTGAAAATTTAAAGCCACCAATAGATTTTAGCTCCTTAAAAGGGTCAAAATGACAAAAGTGAAAATGTAGTACACTCTGCAAGAATTACTATTGCTTTTTTCCCTACTTAAAACAGAAGAAGCCGGGCATGCTGGCGCAAGCCTGTAATCCCAACACTCGGGAGGCTGAGGCAGGAGGATCGTTGAGAGTTCGAGACCAGCCTGGGCTACAAAGTGAGCTCAAGGCCAGCCTGAACTGCATAAAGAGACCTTGTCTCAAACAGACAAACAAAATAAAAAACGGAAGAACAATAAATCACACAAACTAACCAAAAAACAATCCCAATCTTTTGTCTGCGGATTATCTGTGAAAGAAGAAAAGCCTCATCACGTGATATGGTCCCCCCCACCAAAAAATTATGAAGGCAATTCGAAGCAATTATGGGGATTGCTGAAAACAAAGCCTATTTAAAGTACGGCTCTTGATTAACCTAATTTAGCTACCAACATCCTAACAGTTAACTTTCACAACTCCCCCCGCCCCCGCTCAAAGAGTAACCAAAATTTTCTAGAAAATGGGCAGAAGTGCTCCACTAACGGGAAACATTTCCTTTCTGAAATCTCGACTTTCCTGTTCTCGCAACACCTCTTACACACCATAAATGTTAACAACGGTTAAAAAACAGAAAGTGCTTTTGCACATTTTTCTCCCTCGATCCCGTTATTCCGCTGCGAATATTTTTATTTTTAAGGAAACATGTTTTTCCGGGCCGAGGGGGCGTGCACCCCACGGCACAGCGCCCGGCGGGGCAGATGGCGCGGAGGAAGGGGAGGGCCCCGGAGCTCCCGCCACGCGGCCCGC